TGTTACTTTTTCAGCCGAAAAGAAGTAAACGGCAAACGAAGAAAAACACGTTATCGTGGAGGGAATAGTCATAACGTATTTCAATTAAAGCCACACAAATAAGAACCCTTTCATTATCAACTTTCACATCAACAAAACATAACAATAGTGATCTTTTTTTTTTTTAGTTGCTTTATCATACCGAGTCGTATTGTTGAATTTTATCGTTTTCTTTCAATTTCAATAGAAACTTCTTAATTTTACAGGGTTTTATGGTTTGTGTTTAGACTTGTTGAATACTACTAAACAATATGGAAAAAAATATTTTTAAAATATAGCTGCGACTGCTCTATTCCCGTGTGCTAAAAACGGCACTAAAACTCATCAAGAAACTATGCATCTTACCTTACAAAACATAGTTTTCCCTTAAAACGTATATTGTCGTTTATCCAAAAAAAAAAAACGTATATTGTTCCAAGAAAATATAGTTACCCATTTACTTGTGAATAGAAGAAGACTTAAAAGTCAGAAACATCAAAGATGAAAATGAAATGAGTGTACAAAACTACAATTTACAATGTTATATTCATCTATATAATAGTAGTAAAAGAAAACTAATGCCTCTCATCTCTGATTTTAATGGTTGATAAAAAAATTCTTATTTGATAAATTCAGAATGTCTAGTCAGTTTTATTCATTCACATGATCATTTTGTTGCTATAGAGGAAATACCTAGAGACACATCTAATCGGGTCACGTTGTTTAAAGTCTTCTCTATGAACTTTTTTCTTTCCTCATCCACAGTCCCACAAACCCAATCGAATTCTATTACCGACTTTGACCATTGACTAAAACACATCGAAAATAAAAATTAAATTAAATGAAGCCAACAGCTCAGCATAACAGATTTGATTGGTAAATTTCTACGCCAAGTAATATATTTGATAATTATTAATCACGAAAACAAAAAAAAAATGTAAAATTTTATATATCACATATTCTCAATAGTAGCAATGTGGTAATGCATAC